AGATACAAAAATTTCAACATTTCGGCATATCTTTGAACCATCTTCGACATATATATTATATCATCACAAAGTCATAACGTATGATTAATCTATTAATTCAAAGATAGAGTTACAGATTTTTATATCGTATTTGTGAAAGTAATACAAACAATTTCGCAGCGATTTAGAACATAATTCAAAAATTACCATTACAAATAGACAATTTTAAAATAAAATAAAATAAAAAAAATTTCATTTAAACTATAAAATTGTATTGTTAGATATAAATTTAATCTTGAACTTTTTTATAACATTTATTTTTATATACAAAAAATAAAAATTTTCAATTCCAGTCACTTTTTGCACAGACTATACATCTGATACATCCTCTCTTAAATAGATCATCATATCTTAAAAAAGGCGTGTAGACGTTTTTTTGAAGCCTCTATTCGTTGAGGCAGTTAAAGTAATCCGAAAATGGTGAATTTTGGTAACAAGGAATTTTCGGGGACGCTCTTTTAAAAACATGGTAAAAATTATGATAATTAAAAAAGACTTATCCAATATGGCGGACGGAAAAGATGCGAAAATCTTAAAGGTTTTCCGATTTCGGCGAAATTTGGATTAAGGGGGCTTACGCGGACGCTGATTTAGAATCCGTGATCAAAATTAGGAAAATCCAAATGACTGATCCAAAATGGCGGACGGAAAGTGTTGCGAAATACATAAAAATTTAAAAATTTCGGCGAAATTAGGTAAATGGGGGTTACCGCGAACGCAGACTTTGATTCCGTGTTCCAAATTTTTAAATTCAATATGGCAGACGGAAATGTTGCGGAAATCAATAAGATTTTCCGAATATGACGAATTTAATAAGACGCAAAGAAATGTAATTATAATTTGAAGATTAATCGACTATGCTTTGGTGTAAATTTTGTAAGAGAAAATTATATGGTCGATCAAAAAAAAAGAATCGCGCGCGTAGCGCTCTGTGAAGTTGGCACCCCTAAATGCGAATATTGGTAATATCATTATTGCATTCGTTTGTCCACTGTTTGTCCACGTTTGTCCACCCGTTATTTTCTTTGGACCACCCCGCAAAAAAAGGTTATGCACAAAAAAAAATTGTAACACCCCAAGTGATAATTTTTCATAATTATATACGGGTATCGTTTGTCCACAACGCGCACGTGATTGTCCACCCATTATTTTCATTTGTCCACCCTCCAAAAAAAAGTTATACACAAAAAAAGATTGTAACATCCCCAAGTGATTATTTTTCGAGTTCGTATCGATTGCTTGAGAATTCATTTTACTAAATTAATGATTTTTTCGAAAAAATACGAATGAAAAATATCAAAAAAAACGAAGAACAACTGAATAAGATTAAAAGAAGACGAAAATCATCATCTTCATGACTATTTCAAGAAGCGGGGAGAAATAAAAAAATATAAAAGATACGAAAATCAATAATTTAAAATGAAGACTGTTAATTAAAACTAACGGAAAAAAAGGAAAAAACAAATAATAATCTCATAAATTAGACAAATCCGGAAAAAAATTTTAAGGATGTATAAATGCTTAAATTTTTTAAAAAATTAAGTAAAGAAGAAACCTACGTTGTAATTTTAGGGGAATTAACAAACCAGTTTGGTCTTTTCCAGATTTGTTTGTGTATCCCTAATAATTCCGAATCGCGCGCGTAGCGCGCGCAGGAAAAGGCTAGTTTATTATGTAAATAATGAGAAAAAAAATAATAAACAAAGAAAATAAAAAGTCAAAATTCAGAATTTTTAATTTATTCCAAAATTCAACCGTCAAGCGCAAAATTATAATATAAATGTATACTTAAATAAATAAAGAAAATAAGTAGAAAGTCCATGAAAGCTTCAGTCAACAGAATACAAAATCAAGAATAAAAATTAAGCAAAATAAATACTTATTTTGTAAATTTTTTTTATTGCAATATGGCGATAATTAATGTTATTTCTTTCCCAATGCTTTACCACGAGAAATATCTCTTGAATCCCGCTATACCAAGCATTCTTCAGAATTCGCCGATTAGCGACGATCTGACGAGCGATTAAAGTGTGAAAATTCGTCAGATCCCAGCTTTCCTTGTGCACGACGATATGCTCCAAATTGATCAGTCGAAATGAACTAAAAAATTGACGTGATTCGCTAGAACAAGTCACGACAGCGCAAATCAAGAGTGTTCATAATTCCGATCGATACCTGTAGTCTCGAACCCACTGCTCCAGAGTCATTCGCATGCATGGATTTATCAAATACAGATCGGTATGCAGAATTTCACGGCAGTGCTTTATCTGTTTCGAAGAGTCCGGCAGAATACACTGCTCGTCCTTATGAATCGCGTCGAACTGCAACACGATCGGCACAAATTAAATCATCGATAACAAAAGCTCCGATCTCTAGTCTGCATTTCACAGTTTACGAAACAAGCATCGAGCCAATGAAATAAAATGTAAATCAATTTTCACATATATATATTTTTGTTACTATAATAATTATTTAATACACATTATAATACACATAAATCAGTAATTTCTGTAAATCCATGAATCAAAGAATCTACTTTATACTGAAACGATCGATTGCACGTTGAGATAGAAAATCTTGATACTGAATTTTTTAATTTAAAATTTTTCAGTCCGACTTATATGTCTATTTTTAATCAATTGAAACCTTAATATTTCATATTGAAATATTATTCGATATTTTTCTTATATAATATTATACTCCAGAATCTTGTCGGTAAAATGTTAAGTTAACATTATCTTCAGTTACCTCCAATTTGATTTTATTCTCAAATTGATATAGAAGTCTCATTTATAATTCGACTTTTCTTCCGATGACCAACCTGTGATGGATGTTCCTCGGTAGGATCCGCGAGCGCGAACTTAACAATAGCCTTCTTCATGTTCTTTGTAAAGTCCTCCTTGATCTCGAGGATCAAATCACCGACAAAATCAGAAAATTTCTCCCGTAGACTACCGGGAACTAGATCGAGTATCGCCTCGACAAAGACATTCTCGATGCTCACCGTGTGAATTGTATCGACTCCATTGCAAATGTAATAATAATATCTATTGACGTCCTTATCATCGCTCAAATCCACATCCTCCTTCTGTAGCTCAGGTTTCACTATCAAACCCACCATAAATCTAATCGCAAGGATCGAGATTAATTTAAAGCTTTAAACTTCTTCCAAAAGAATATAACGATTAATTATTATTACCTTCATTCGCATTATTAATAATATCAATCGTTTCGCTTTATATTAAGTTGGTTTAGCAATCATCTCTTAATGTCATATGTTCAAAATCTTTTTATAACTTGATTTTTAATTAATTTTATAATTTTATTAAATTAAATGTAATTAGATAAATTTATATATTATAAATTAAATAATCCGATTTAATTACATTTATGATAATTGTGCCATATGTTTAGATCTGACGTTACTTGCGAAAACTTAGTTTAATTAAACTGCTTTGACTTTTGATTGAGCTGAGTTAATATTCGGAGTTATTTGGACGTACAAGTTTCGGGTTTGCTTTTTGTACCTGCGAAACTTCTCCTCGCGAAAACGTTTCGCTGTGTGAGATACGCCACGCCATTTTTGCATTTTTCCCTTAATTAGCGCCTCTCCTTTCCTTTTACATCTTTTAGGACTTATCAAGTCCGGTGGTAGAGAAAACAACGGTTCCACCTTCGTGTTGAGAATCTTCGGTATTCGAATCGCATCCTCGGATTCACACCGTCGTGCCTTCGTTTTCTCCAAACGAGATGAAACTTCCATAATCAATCGCAATTATGACAATTAATGTCACAATGCGACATTTAACAGAATTCTAATATATCTCTGGAAAATATATTATATCACTGTTCGCGAAACTCCAAGCAATTTAATTCATGCATGACCATTCTAAAATAAAACATTTTAATATTACTACAAATATTAATTAAATCCCGCGCGAATTTACATTAAATTATATATATAAGCTATAGCAGATATATACATTTATAACAGAATATTTGTAAACTACAACTAGATAATTATTTTATATAAACTTTTGGTTATTATTTGCGTGAAGACACATTTTTTTGTGGACTCGATTTCAAATAAGTTTATTATTCATCTCATAAATTCATTCCGATAAATACTTAAAATATTTTATTTTAAATGCTGTGTCATAATAAACTGTAATAATATTATAAAAATAATATAAAGTTAGAGATATACATAATAAAATATTGTATAATAGATATAATATAATATAAAATAATAAAAATACAAGAGAGAGAGAGAGAAAGTATAATCTAAATACAGCATATCGTAAAAAAGAATGTTTTATTTTAATTTTATCTTATAATATATAATAATAAAATAAAATATAATATAATATATATAAAAATATATGTATAATATACGTATTATATATATATTTTTAAATATGCTAATAACTGTAGTAATAATAACATATAAATAAACTGTGTTAATAGTTAAAGTATATTTTCTAATAACATATAAAATACATAATCAATAATAAATGCACAATAAAATTATATTACAGTATTTATAATTATTAATTTAAACCCTTGTACAGCATCTGGTAAAAATTTTTCTCAGAATTTTTATATAAATTGGAAATTTTTCAGAAACGTTGAATTTTATACCTTTTCTCATTCTATAATTTCTAAAAAAATATCTCAAACTATTTCAAATTTTATAATAAAAATTATAGGAAGAGAACTTTTAAAATATTTCGGAATTTACACATGAAAATATTTTTTTTAATGTAGACTTTCCCGACATTTCTAAAAAGTGTTTTACTTTGTATAAAAAATCTGAGAAATTTTCCTAAATATTACGAAATATTAAAAAATTATAAAATTTAAATAAAAATTCTAAAAAATTATATGAAAAATTTTTGCAAAGTACGAAGAGGGGCTTCGAAAACGCCCTCTTGATAGAGAAATGATTACGAATTTGTATTGTATACTCTAACCTTCAAACACGGTGAGTGTTTTGCGCCGCTGAATCGTCGCGAAATAGCTCTAGATTTGCGAAATCAGTCCGATCTGCTGCGAATATTCGCAGACTAACATCTCGCGTAATTAACCGCTAAATTGAGCGCATTCGTGAGAGTCACGCGTGTCCTGTCATTCATACGCATCCGGAGATTCACAAACTGAACTCTCGATCGCAGTTTCTAGGCAACGTGGTCGATCGATTCGGTAGAATTAACGAATCCTGCGAATCTCAGCGAAAACGGCGAGCAAAGACAGTCTTCGCATTCGCATCTCTTTCTTGTCTCCGCTTCAACGAGAAGCAATCCCGGTGCAATTCTCTCTTTTAGGTTAGGTCCCAAGAACCACCTGCATTTCAATTATCGCGGTAACCTGAGACGTAGAATGACACGAAACGTCCCAATGTGACTTCGCGATTTCCTCGAGGATTTACATGATCTAGTTTTTCCTACACACGTAGCACATTTTCTTCCCTATACTCTTATTTGTATTGTTAATCGGAGTTGGCCATTGTAGTTCTAGGATACAGCTATTAAACCTTTCAGAGCTGATGTCAAAATCTATAATACATTTACTGCTAGATCTGTGATGCTCGTTTAGTTTATAATAATTAAAAGACTAAAAATTATTTTCAAAATGTTCAAAACTCATGACAACTTGTATAAAAAACAATTAATATACCAAGTATATTTTTATAAGAATAATCCAAAAAACTGCAGTAATCATATAGAATTCTCACGAACTCAGTTTTTACATGAGCTATATTCAACAGGAAAACTGTGATTTTAAAATTTTGTAATATAATTGGTTTATATATTTATAAATTCAATGAAGAATTAAGACTGATATTCCTAGTCTGTTCTTATTTCAAGACTATCTTAAGTCAGTCTTGAATATAAAAACTGAATACCAACTAAGAGTAAGACTAATTTTATTAAAGAATTGTACAATAATGCAAAACTACTTTTTTGCACTATTGTAAAATTCTTTACTAAATAATCCCATATAGCTTCAAGCGACATCTTAAAGATGTCCCTATATGCTTTGAATGTTTTAAGAATGTTCCCAAGACGCGTCTCTTGGATAAAATTTCTTTATGGGAATGTAGTTTATAATGTTATTATCTCAGAAATTGGCATTAATTTAATATATTTGTTAGATGATTCCAGCACAGATATTTCGCCTAATTCACACAAACAGCCTGCTCTGGCAGGCCACAAACAAATCTCTACTGGCTAAGCTGCGCAAGAAGACTGGCTATACATTTACGAACTGCAAAAAAGCCCTGGAGCTGCACGAGAATGATATGGATAAGGTAAGAGGCACTATACAACCGTTTAAGCACGTGTCTTGCGACTCTAATTGACTTACAACGGAATCTCTTAGTTCTTCCTTACTCCAGGCTGAGAAGTGGCTGAAAGAACAGGCACAGCAATATGGCTGGACCCAGGCAGCTAAACTGCAGGGGCGCAATACTAGCCAAGGACTGATCACTGTAACGGTAGATGGAAATCATGCTGCACTGGCTGAGATTAATTGCGAGACTGACTTCGTGGCGCGGAACAAGAAGTTCCACAATCTCGCAGAGGCAGTGATCTCCGCTGTATTGAATCATGCAAAATCCCAGGATGTTCAGAACAAAGTACAAAGGACTATTTTCCATGCAGACAGTCTCAAAGACCTGCTAGCTGCGGATGGCAAACCATTGAATGACCATTCCGCCTTAACTATTGGCAGCGTAGGTGAGAATATCATTGTGAGGCGCGCTCTTGCCATCAGCGTACAATCGGACGTGACACTGTTCGGTTGCACACATCCGGCGCCGATGAACCCCATACCTATATCTTTTGGCAAATATGGTGCTCTTGTAGCCATTAGGTGTCAAAAAAATGACAATATGCTGGGTACGCAGCTTTGCCAGCATATCATTGGTAGGTTTCTTCTGTCGCAAGGATACTTTTGATGTTACAAATACTTTGAAATATTCTTTTATTGATCTAAATTAGCAAAATTCTTTCTTTTGTTTGGTTAATCAAACTTCGAAATATTTGTAGTGTTAAGTGGATTGCATTTTAGATAATTGAATTGGTAAAATAAAGGATGACATTTACATTCTTTCTTCTTTGTAGGCATGGATCCGCAAAAGATCGGTAATCCACGAGTGGACGAGCCGCACAACAATACGGACGAAGAACAGTGCATGATCTATCAGGAATTCTTGCTCGATCCTAGTCTCTCTGTGCAACAATTACTAACGGAAGCGCATGCTGAAATCGTCGACTTCGCGCGTTTCGAGATCGGTGAGGAACTTGATGAGCAGTCACCTCTAAAGAGTGCTCAGACTTGCGGCTGACGTCAATTGCAATGCCCATAAATATCCGATTGTTTCACATTATCATTAATATTAATTTTCACAACAATATTACTTTAGTTATAAAATTAAAGAAGCAGAGATCGTGTGAATATATAAAATTTTTAAGTTGTTTATATATCTTTAAGAACAAACGTTTATGAAAAAAGAAATAAATTAATCAGTTTTATCGGTATGTACTGTATAGCATATTACTCTAATAAAATCAATGATAGTCTAGCGTAAAATTTAAAGCATCATTATTTCATTTAATCTTTTAATGTACACAGTTGGAAAATTTATATTCAATTTAATACATTTCACGTTTCCCAAACGGTTCACTCAAATTTTTGTATTAATTTAACACAAGATGAGCATGTTAGAAACAAAGATTGTGAAAATTAACATAAAAATGTAACATTTCGTCATGCTTTAGAAGCAAATTGTAGAAGTCTCTTGAATCTCTTGAATAAAATTAAATTATAATATGTTAAATTAATACTCGAATTTGTTAAATTTAAAATTTAATATAAAGATATTTTAAAATTGAATTACAATCAGCTCAAAAATAAATTAACAAATTAAAATTAACAATAAACCTCCCAGGTCAAGAATAAATTGAGCAATAATGGTTGTTAAATATATCTATAAATTTGTTATAATGATAACATTAATATACGGTGTTAATATACCGTATATTAATATATCGTATATTAATGTTATCATTATAATATAGATATATTTAACAACCATTATTGCTCAATTTATTCTTGATCTGGGAGGTTTATTGTTAATTTTAAAGATATTTTAACAAGGTTTTGATACAAGCACAAAAATATTTTTACTTTATCAAATTTTAAGACTCATTATAATCATAAAGAATTAAATTATTATATCACAATCAAAAATTCATATAAATATTTTTTCTTATATTATTTTGTATTTCCTTTAATTTTGTGTTTCTTTTTTATTATTTAATTAATTCGATAAAAACGAAAGAAAATTGAGTCACCAACATTGTTTGAATATTAAAATGAAATCAAATCTAAAAAAATAAAATTATGATTCGAAAATATGTAAATAAAGTTAAATAAAAGTATGCGCTACGAAAGATCCTTGCGATACAAAGTGCTTGCAGGAGCAGCCTTTGTTTTAATACTTTTCAGTTTCCTCGCGAGTCGGACCGATTTCCACAGCCACATTCGAGAATCCTTCTTCCAATACGGTGCGATATCCGCAGGGGAATGTCTGGTACCCTGCAGGATAAATCCTTTTCTCAATCCTTTCCTACGAGCCTTAATTTTTAATTTTTTTCTGTATAATATGATTTTTAAATTAAATGTGTGTGTATAATAAATCTCTGTATATATCTACATACATATATAAGAAATTAAATATACGAAAACTATATATTTCAAATTCTTATCCTGTGTATATTAATATATTATAATATTATTATATATGTATATATTATACTTTTTTAATATTCTTGAGAATATTATTTAATTCTCTTTGAATATCGCTGACAATATTTTTTTACATAAACATTGAATTTTAAAAACTCAATCTGTTTTCTGAAAGATGAAATTATGGATAAATTATTGCTAAATGAAGACGTTCGTACCTGGAAAATCAAGATTTCTGGTCCCTGAACTACCAATTGAAAAGTAGATTTTTCTCTTGTCTTAAAAACTGGAATAGTTTCCTCCTGCTCGGAATCATTGAAGTAATCCGTCTGCATGTAATTTGTTCTAAAGCCTGGGTGATTCGTCGTCTCAAGCTCCAGACTCTCCAAAGCGGATGTGAAATTCTCAATATCCTTGTAAGTTCCAATTCCAACCTAAATAAAGCAGTTTCATCAAAAAGCGTAATTGTTTTTTTTTTTTTTTATTAAAGTGTTTAACTTGGATGGATATAAAATTGAATAAAGAAAAACTGTACATCGGCTCGTAATTTTCAAAGAATTAATTAAAAATTATATTTATTCTAATTTATTCATTTTTCAATACAGAATTTGTAATATATAATATTTATATAGTAATATATTTATTATTTTTTAATTAATTTATCATTATGTATATTATATATATTTTTTAAATTTGTCGATTCATTAAAAATTTATTTGTACTTTACGGCCATTTTAACTCAAAATTAAGTGAAAAATAACATTAGTTTTATTAAAAAATTGAAACTATAAATCTAACGATTAAATAAGATTGTGTTATAGTTATAATTATAGATGGAATGAAATTATTTTTAGAAATTTAATTTATGAACATATTTAATTTTAACGTTTCAACACAATGAACCTGAACTCCTTGGGAGCAAACGTTATGGTCCAGAACTGCGGCAGCGACAGCATCCTTCGTCCTGGCCGCGGGATGATCGTTCTCATCCCACTTCAGGTTCTCGACTGTCCGGAAAGAGAAAGCGGACGTTGTATGTTACAAGGAGGTTTGCAACGAGCATCTCTCTACTTCGATGTACCGCTCGATTGATCCGATTCCTCGTTTCTCCAATCCATCCTCGTGCAGTCGAAGAGTGGTAAGACGGAGGCAGCTCTCTGACATTTGTCGAGACTCACATCCCTCGCTTACCGCCTCCTAGCTGTCAAGGAAAAATGCGCGGTGAGCGCACTTTGTTTCAAGGACCGGATCGAACTGAATTTATATGGTTTCAGGAAACTCGATGCCTGATTAAAAGGTACCCTCCTATATGCTGGGATTATATAGTCAGAGAATAGTATAAAGAACAACATATATTTATATTTACGTCTTGTATGATATAATGCAATATAAAATTTAAAAAAAAATGAATATTATTTTTTATATCTTCTTCTGCTAAAAAAATATATACACGCGTGTTAACTATTAACTATAATATGTTACGTATGTATATTGTCATGTCATTTACATTATATTGTATAGGATATGATTTAAATAACTTCAACTCTATAAAAAAAAATTCACTTCAATTTCATATAATCTTGAGACTGTTATTTTTCAATATTTTCATTGTTATTATGTGTAGAAAGTGAGACAGGATTCTAGCTGATATTCAACGAATATGTTTTATAATTAATTTACAGTAATAATAATAATAGTAATACTTCGAATCACACATATTATCTTATAGGAATTTGTCACAATTGTCTGATTTGATTTTCCTTAAAAGATGTTGCTAAACACAAAATTCTAAGAAACACATTTTTTTATATTCAATTTGAGATTTAGGAGGTCAAATCTCACAGATTAGATATTTAAAAAATATTTATCTCTTAAGAGAAATTTTTGTGATTGACAACATATATAAATATATGACTATTTATTGACTTACCAAATTCAAATTTAATCCATTATTATATACAAGCTCAGAATAATTTATATTTCTATACTTAATTTTTATAAATACATATAACTTTTATACAATTCCATCAAGTAGCTTTCATGAACTTTAATATGATTTTTTTTTTTTACTTGAATTGTCTTTGTACATTTTTTTTTAACTTCCTCTCTATATCTCTGTCCGATGACGATTACAATTTCTTATCCCATTCCCATTGATTCCCCCAAGACCCAACTCAGCTTCTTACATTCTTAGGTGAAGCGCGTTTAACGCACGTAGGAGCGGAACGGGCCGCGCGCGAGAGGCCTATTACGTGTTCTAGGACGTGTAATAAACCGCCGTGCTCTATCTATCCGTGGCGAGGTAACGTTGGAAAGGCAGCGGACCTCGGAACAGGTGTGCACGTGTGTGCGTTGTGCCTCACGGCGAGATCTCAACGGACCTCTCGCGCGCTCGCGCTCACGTATATTCATGAGGCCGCAGCTCGTCCCGGGCCGCCTGCCGTTGCCGGTCACGGCTGGCCGGCCGGAGTTCCGGGGCCCACTTCCGGACACTCGGCTGCGGCACCGCACACCGGTGCGGTCTCGTTTTTAGCCCGGGGAATATCAGTTGTTCGCAGTGTACAGTTAGCCGCCGCGCATTATACGCGAGCCAGAGCTCGCGCGTCCTGCTCCTTCGCGCGTGTCCCTCTCCGCGTGGTAGAGGCGGTTTAAATGGGCCTCGGCTTCTTCGAGCCGCGAGACACCTCAGAACAATGGACTTCCCCAGGCGGGTGAGTGAGATCATTCCATTCGCGAATTGCTCTCAGATCTCTACGATCGCACGAGGATACGGTGTTTTTAGAAGATCTTCGAATCTTATCTAGAAATTTAATATTAGTATTGATCAATTAATTACTTATTTTAAATATTAAAAATATATTATTGTTCAATACTTTTTTTTAGTACTCCAAATAAATATTTAATCATTGTTTTTCAGTAATTAACTAATCAGCAGATTTCTGTAAGGGAGGGCGCGTTAAATTCATACTGTCGAATTATATTCAACTTCAATTATTTTCTATGCAAAATCTGTTAATATCTCTTGCGTCAAATTTATAAAAAAAATTAATTGACAAAAATAGTGTTTCTATACCAAACATATAATAAAAACTCAAGAAGGAAGTCGTAAATGTAACTTTGACTGCGTGATGGAGAAGTAATGGTAAATCGATTTGCCTTAAAAAGGTATTAAATGGAAGTATGAAGTATATTTTTTATCTGAATAATGTTTCTACATAAAATCTATTAATATTTCTAACGTCAACTTTTTGAAAAAATTATTTGATAAAAATAGTTTCTACAAAAAAAAAATGCAAGGAAGAAGATCATTGCACTTTTGTTTGAAGAAATGACAGTGAATCTATTAACCGACCTTTGTATTTCTTTAGTTGGTAGATAAACCATGTCAAATACCTTACAATTACACAATCCTTTAATTAATTCTCCGGAATTGACGCCAAAATCAACACAATTACTGACGTTGTGTCTAAACCCCATACTGTACAGACGAGGCGTCCCTTGAATAAAGCGTGGAACATTTAATTTATGTAATGAAAAGTCATTAATTAATTTATATAAGAAATTAAAGGAACCAAAATGAGTTTTTTATAGCTCATATAAAAAAAAAGAATTAATGTAACAAATGTATATTTTAACTTAATGTATATTTTAAAATAATCTAACTTTTTGTAGAACATAATCCCTCTAAAATCTTTAAAGTAGAATCTAATTCTAAAGAATATGACAAAGAATGATAATTGAGTCAGTGCTGAAAGAGTGACTCAATTGTCAATTATATTAAATGCGAATGTTAAATTTTAGTTTCCCATTTCAAAGATTAGAGAGATTGATATTGAATATAAAAAACAAATTTAGAATTTTATTGAGAATTAAAAAGGAAATAAAAAAATCGTATGTCAAATGCCCCGAAATTCTATTTCGCAATTCCGCAGCCTTCACATCACCTGTTACACCACCGTCGTTGAACGAATGAGTCGCTAAGAGAAAAAAACCACTCGTTCTCTCCTACGAGAGAGATTCGCGGCAGGGCAGGTCGCGGTCGAGCGACCACGAATTCTCACCTTTTGCCACGATTCCCGCGCAGAGAGATGTGAGCGACAGTTGCGACTTCCTGCCCTGTCGCACCACGGACGATGATCGTCGCGGATGATGCTCGGGCCGCGCGTGTGCGTGCGTGCGTGCGTGCGTGCGACGTGCGTGAGGCGAATGCGAGATGCGCGGGCCTCGTGTATGAATGAATCGCGGTACTCGCTCGTGCACGCATGCACGCACACACGCCGGAGGAACGAGACCAGCACAATGCGACGGCGGTCGGCAGCAGCATAATGGGCCCCGTCTTACTGGGATCCGATGTGGTTACAGGTCAATCAACTTGAGCCGAAAGCCAGCGGCACAAAAGCCGCTCATTTTCCTAAGAACAATGACAATAATGCGGATCGCAATGAGAAGCCTTTCGAAAAAATCATTCCCCTTGTAATCCATTCGAAACGACTTTGGTGGCACAAATGTCGTCTACAAACATCATAAAAGTGTCAGAAAGGAACTCAAAAAATCCTTCAAACAAATTCTAACGTTATTAGATAACTAAAATTTTTTAATTATTATTCACTATTTCATGCGGCATCAAGAAATAATGATTGGAATCATTTTACATTTTAATCCGTTAAATAATTAATTTGTTAATTAATCCTTTGTAAATCGATGAGAAGATATGAACCCTTACAATAAAAGTTATAACTCATAAACTGTGTTATTTTACTAAGAAATATTAAATATAAATTTAATACAAAATATTTAAATAACAATCACATTATGTTAAATTAACACTCGGATATTTTTAAAATTTAACACAGCATTTTAATAGAAACTTGAATGGATTGTTTCTAACATAAATACAAAATGTTCTTTTACTGTATAAATCCTTTGTTACAAATTACTACTCTTTTAAAATTCAATATATTTAAGTTACATTTAAACTTATCAATGTTAAAAATCTCCTAAAACCAAATTTTACGATTATTTTTTTAGAATTTGAATTAAAAGATTTTGAAACCAGAATTGAATTCAGCGACTTCGAAAATCCTTAGAAAGGTCTTCAAGTTTCTTGTCCTCAAAGAGTTAATTAATCATATAACTTAATTAAAATAATTAACTAAACAAACAGAAATGATAAATTCATATAGTATAGATTTTAAAAATGCATTTTCTTTGTAATTTGAAAGAGACTACTAAAAGACTTGAAAGAGATCAAAAAGACTATTTTGACTACACCAATGTCCATAAAAGCATTGTATAAGAATAAATTATTTGGCAGAATCCCAAAGTTCCTTAAATTCTTCTAGTAATTCTAATATATAGCAATTTCATTAATTACAATACAATACTTCGTAACCATGTAGCGTCAAGAAGTGGATAACTATTTCACATTTTCATCCAAATAATTAATTTGCTAATTAACTAGAATAATTAACAAAATTAATGAAATTGACGAGCTTGTGTACAGCTTTCCGATTAATCGGACAATAATATAAATCAAATCGAACTACGTTACATTAATGAATATAGAAAGCTAAATTAAAGCAAACTCCTTTAATGTTTTAAGCGCTCTTCTGACCAAGGCTGCGTGTGATGCGTCAAGTGCATCGAGCACATACTCGAGTGCACCTGCGAGGCGGAGATCCTCTCGCGAGCTCTGGTATCCCAGTTTTCAGTTCACTCGCGAAGCGCGTCCGCTGCAAAACTCCTAAGCTCGCGCGCTCTGCAAATGTTATATCCGACGATGCTTTCGCGCAGGCAGGAATTAATTATCATTAATTACCGCACGCGTGCGCTCATCGAACGGCCTTAGTTTTCGAGTTTTTCCAGCAATATTCCGCGGCTATCTCGAGCATTCATTTGAGTGCCTTGACTCCTCATTCTCGACACGCGATCGTTATAGAGATACCACTGTCTATCGAGAGCCTCGTCTCAACACACGGCTTGTCCGTCATTTTGCGGTGTATCATTTTTTTAACGCGAGAAACAAAGTGCGATTAGAAAAGCTTTGAATCGTCAAGACGAGAGGAATTTTTAAACAATCTTGTTATCTATTGTGGACAAATATGACAACCATGCTGTACCCTGAAATTTTAAATACCGTCCCGCAGGATGACAGGAGCTGTCGCAGCGATGATTCCGGTGGCGAAGTCTTTAGGAACATCCCGAAGAACAGTAGCATCTTCCGAGTCTGGAGGATAGAGGTAACTATTAATAAAGATAATTACAATTCTGAATAATATTATAACGCCAAGATATTGAAATATTTTTCAACAACAGAAAATAAAAATTAATAATTAAGCAAAAAGGGGCTATAAAGAGTCAGCGCGAAAGATATGTCTTATTAATATTCGAATTTCAAGATCGTTTTTGTTTGTTAATAGAAAATAATATGCATTGCAGCAATAAACAAGATTATACATGCACTGAAAAAAGTTTATTAAATGTTAATACATATTTCTTTAAAAAGTGTTAAGTACGTGAAGTTATTCCGGGTTATAATGACTTTGTACCACATTGTTCCAAAGCAATATTGTTTTATTCCGAGTGATTCAAGACTGAACAGTTTATGTCTTTTTCTTCAATTACTCTTAATTAGTTATGTACTTAATTATTTATTATTTAACTATTTTTCTGTCAAATCTCATTAAATATTAATTAAATTATTATTGACGATTATTAAGTCTTATCTTATTTGTTTTTTAGTATCCATTATATTTACTTTAATTACTCTCAGGATGGTATCCATAATCGGTTCTTATTTCAAGGCTGTCTTAAATCACGAATCACTCAGAATAATCTATATCAGTTAGCATCTTCTTAAGATGGCCTGCGAAAAAAAAATATATATATAGATTTAATATAATTAAATACAAATTTTATTAAAATTTAATATAATACTAAGTAAGATCTTAATAATGATTTTAATAAATTTGATTTTATTATTAAAACCTTATAAGATTTAATTTAGACCATATAATGATCCATATTAAGTTATATAAGACCATATTTAAATTTATTAATTCAATTTATTAAAACTTGTTAAGACCATATTAAAACATATTAATTCAACTTATTTAAAACTTGTTAAGATTTAATTAAATTATGTAAATTGGACTTTAATAAGATTTAATAAGGACTTATTAAACTTAAATAAGTTGTTAATATAAACTATATTAAAAATATATACATATTCGCATTTATTTATAAGGTTATATAAAGACTTTATAAATTTTTTATATGAATTTTGATGAAATCCTTATAAAGAACTTATAAGACTTTTATTTAGAATATATTAACTTTTTTTTCGCGGGGGTTTTAAAATAAAAACTGACTATAAATATCGAATTAGATTTAATTACTGTTTCATATCGCGTTTACGATTCGTTTCGCTTCATTTGGCATTACGTATTTATTTTTGTCGAACAGGGTCTACGCGCGACGGTCGTAAGCAGCAACAACATGGGCCTCTTCCTCTCCGAGTCAGCGTACATTGTCTATGCCGTGTCCCCAAAGGACGGTGCACTTCCTTATCCGGGCATGCCGGTATACTTTTACTTCAATTGTGTTGCGTCATTATGAGAAAAACTGTACGAAAGCGTGAGCACCGTCTTGTCTAACAAAATCCACGCCCTGGATCCCAGAGCATAATTTTTTTTCAACTTACAATTCTTCAAGTTTGCCATTGAAACATTCCTCCGCAAAGAAAATGAATTTCTCGCGCACGCGATTACACCGTAACGCATAAGAAAACTTCATTAGAAATTAAAAATTGGTACTTGAAAGAAAAGAAATCGCGGCGTTTAAATAACTCAACATTATGGAAGATAAACATCCATTTAAGTCTTGTTTTCATCATTCTATTTCTATTTGCTTTATTATCTAATTGATATATTGCTCCTTTCAAAAGTAACAGAACTCGAAGAACGTGATTTTCAAGTCATTACCATGAATGAGTTAAATAAATATTATTCTTAATCATCAACAGTGAACACACTTAACTTAAATAAATAAGTAGTCAAAGTCTTAATAAAAAAGTGTTCTTTTAATTATTGCAAAACAAAAATAATAAAAATGACATTTGATTGTGTTAACTTTTTGTCAATATTATTTAATTATTTATAGTTAATAATTCTATGTCAAATTAAAAAATAGTTTTCCACTTTATCTAAGTAACACTTAACTTTTTTCACTTTTGAAAGAAATCTAATACTAGCCAATTTAATATATTGATTAAATACAGTAATTAATTACTTTATTTTAAATATTAAAAGCACTATTATATGTAGTGTTTTTAGTACTCCAAATAAGTAATTAATTACTGTCTTTCAGTAAAATAAATTGACCAATATTAAATTTCTCGTAAGGGAAAGCAAGAGAATATGACTTCTTCCACCTTTTTGATAGATCAAGGAACTGAAAGATACCTCGGTGGTGCGCGCCATCCATTTCTGGATTGGCGCTAATTGCGACTCGACGGTGTCCGGCGCCGCGGCGCTCCGCGCCGCCGAGCTCGATTCGCAGACGTCGGCGATGATCCTAACGCGCGAGGCGCAGGGCCGCGAGAGCCCGCGGTTTCTCGCCTACTTCCGGCAGCGACTGGTCGTGGAGAACCTGCATCACGAACCACCCGACTGCACCCTGCACCGCGTCTCTGGAGTGGCCGTGCCGATTCTGACCGAGCTAAAGAGAGTCCATTGGGAACACTTCAGCTGCCGAGACGTCATCCTGGTGGACATCCGTTCAAAGTGCGTGACGGTTCAGGACAATCGCGTACTACGCGACGCGAATAATTTTACGTAATTACCGGATGATGTTGTAATCCACCGGTGAAAGTTTCCGCCTGCAAAAAATATGCCTTCCGAGAATTAACCATGAGTAATGATAGATTCGATCCCTTTTAGCATCTATATATATGAGGTTTAATCTATACTATCTAAAAGAATTTTATGATTTACTTGGAATTGTTAGATATTTTGGAAAAAAATTTAATTCCCTCATCCCTGTCTTGTCTTAGATTTAGAAACTTAAAAATTATCGTGTTATCACATCTTTTAACTTTCTTATTTCATAATACAATTCAATTTTCTTACTTTGATCTTAAATTTTAATAAGCTTTTAAAATTTCTAACAAACTTTATATTGTTAATATAATAAAATAAATAGTATAACACATAATAAATAATACCTAAGTAATAATTTATAAACTTAAAAAATGACGTTATATCAACAGCATTATCTTAATTGCAAATAATTTTATTGATTCAATAACAGTATTAATGAAATAAAAATAAAATATTACTACGAGTAAAACAAAAGCACTGTTTGATTAAGCGTTATTAAATTGACAATTTTCAATTAAAAATAAATTGTTGATATAACATCATTTTTTTCAGCGTAACATTGATGCTCTCACACATAATATAACTTCTTTCATTTTATCAATATTCTATTTCCTTAATTCAATAATTATAATATGTTTTTCTATTATCTTTTACAAGTGAAATAATAAAAGTCCTACAATTTTTGTATATGTACACTTTTTATTTTACAAAAAATAATTAAAAATACTCACTCACAGGGGTGTCGTCTTTCTATGGCTCGGGTCTTTGTCAGATCCTTTACATAAACGCCACGCTGCCAGTCTCTTGGAGTCCCGGAAAGAGAACAACAACGGCCGTGTAGTAGTAATCGAAGATGGTTACGAGCAGACCCTGCCCATCAACGACAGGGAGCTCTTCAGCAGCGTGCTCGATCCCTCGGCAAGGGTAGTGGCGCCCGATCGTCAGCACCGTGTCAACCCTCCGAACCCCATCAGGCTGTACAAGTGTAGCGAGCAGTCGGGCAAGTACAAGGTCGCCGAACTCAAATCTGGCCCAGTTCTGCGCGGTGATCTGACTTCTGGTTCTGTGTACTTGGTTGACCGGGGCGAAGCCGGCGTCTGGGCCTGGGTGGGCCGCGATGTTAACGCGCGAGAAAGATTGGAAGCTGTGAGAAATGCGCGGGGTTTCATCAAAAAGAAGGATTATAGTGACGGCGTGCCGGTGGCCAGGACGACGGAAGGTAGAGCTAGATTTGTTTTATCGCGTCATAAAATGTATATCTTTTGAAAGCATATAGGATTATTTACAAATTTCTTAACCCCTTGAGTGTGAGATCTTAAAATGCAAAAGTGAATTTAAAACGTATAAATTATTTTCACATATAGATAATAATTTATATATTAAAGTTTTCGAGGTCCTCGAAAATAAAAAATAATTTTCGAATAATCTTTATAGAAGAAAACTATTAATTCCATGATAGAGTTGAGAATAAATGCAAGTAGAAATGTAAAAGACTCAGCAGTCAAAAGAAAAAAAAAAGAAACGATAGGCATGTATATAAAAATGCAAATTAATATAATTCGCGAACGATTGAAATAAAATTAAAATAAATGAAATAAACTGACAGAATTGGGCTAAGGTCTTGACAACTTTTAGATTTTTTAAAATTATAAAGTAATAATGCTTCGACAGACAAACGAAAATAAAATGAATAAAACAAATCGAAGGTCACGAACCAGCGGAGATGAAGGCGTTGTTGAGAGGGTGGGAACTTTCAAAGATGAGGCCGTTAACTTTGCCGGTGAGTTTCGAACCCGATTACATGAACGAGAGGCCCAGGATGGCAGCTGAGTGTCAGCTGGTGGATGACGGGTCAGGTGAACGAACCTTGTGGAGGGTTGAACTAAAAGAGGGCATGGTCCAGGTGGAGGAAGATAAGGGAATCTATTACGCGGAAACCTGCTATGTGATGATGTACAAGTACGGACAGGGACGAAGATGTCGAAGTATTGTACGTGGAGCTTTTTACTGAATACGCAAAAATAAGAATTCTACAGAATTTCTACAGATTAAATAAGTTAAAGATACTAAAAAAAAGAGGAGAAAGTTTTTTCTTTTCGTACACGCAATTCTGCGCGAAGTATTTAATTATTAAAATCCCTAGTAAAAAAATTCAACATATAGTATATGTCATAATTATTCTTACAAATTCTTCATATTTAAAATTTATAAAAATTTCTGAAAAAATATTTAAAAATTCTTCAAATCTTTTTCGAAAATTATAAAATAAAAAACCTTAAAATATCTAGAATTCAACAAATTTCATAAAAAATTTCAGATAAAATATGAATTTATCTCAACATTTTTGAATGTTCCAATCTATTATGTCAAAAATTTGAGAAATTTTTTTTGCAACAGAATTGCAAAATTATATAGAAATTTGGAAATTTATGTAGAAATTCTAAAAAATTATATGAAGAATTTTTAGAAAAAATGTTGCCAGGGGGGTATTCATTTTATGGTTGTAATTATTGTGAAAAATTTCAGCTATTATAAGGTTTCTCTTATCCAGGTTTACTGCTGGGAAGGCGTCCACTCAGTCAAAATGGATCGAGATGCTGCTTTAACAGTGGCTTGCCGTTTATCTGAAGAGACAAATGCGCAGTTGGTGAAGGCGGCCCAAGGCAGAGAACCACCTCATCTCTTGCAGATCTATGATGGGAAGCTCAAGATACTCGCCGGACGTCACCGTAATTCACGTACGGTGTTCCTATTATTTGATTAAACAAAAGTTTAAGGAAATAATTTAAAAAAATATATATATATACACACATATCCATAATTAAAGATAATGAGTAATATCAATAAAATATATAAAATAATAGCAAATTAAAAGTTTTTAATAAGAACTTTTGACTTTTAAAAATCTTTTATTTTTTTTGACGCTCTCAAGAGAATTCTAATTTAAATATGAATTAAGAATTAAAACTGTCAGACTTAAAATAGATTGTTTTAGTTGTGTTTTGAATTGTCTGTTTGCATATATTTTTATATATTATACTGCAAATTAAAATAAAATATCAAAAAAGTTTGTACATTATGTGAAAAAATATTTAAATTGACATTTAAAAAATTTAAATGAAATACATAAAAAAAGAACGTAGAATTCAAAAATATTTCTATTTTCTATAATAAAGATTCTCGATTTACAGCGCCAAAAAAATATTTGGTCAGAGTATTCGGCTCGACGCCGTACACGTCAAAAGCTGTGGAACGCCCATTACGAGCAAGTAGCTTGGACTCCAGCGCGGTGTTCATCCTCTTCTCCGGCGCCCCAATCGTCTGGTGCGGTGGCAAGAGCACTGGTGACGCGAGACAAACGTCGCGACGCCTTGCACCTAGAAATGCGCCTCTTATTACCGAGGGTAAAGAAGATGACGACTTCTGGGCCGAACTTGGAGGTAATAATTAATAAACCCAACGAAGAAATAGAATGTCTCGAGTGTCTTTCTAAGATCATATTTGACATTATAATTTGTACTCCTCAGGAAGAGGCGTCTACAGTACAGAGACCGAAGATATCGGCGAAGAGCTAGACAAACATCTATTTCAATGCCGCACCGAGAATGGCCTCTTCGTAGGCGAGCAGATCCTTGGATTCCGACAGAACTCTTTGATACCGGAAGCTGTCTGGCTGCTAGATGCTGGCAGCGTGATCTGGGTATGGATAGGCAAGTTCTCCAGCCCGAAGACACTGCAAGAGTGCGTTGAGGATGCCATTATATATCTCTACACTCATCCTGCAGGTCGAAATCGCAACACGACCATTTCCGTGATCAGACAAGGTAAGTTCCAGGCAATGCAAAATCAATTCAAAAAGATCAATAACGTTTTTCCTAAATCAACAATTTGTACGTAATAAAAATTTAACAAGAAAACACAGGGAAATTTGTCTCCAATTTTGATAAGCTTTTAATATGTTGTAGTCTAGATCAGAGACACATATTTTTTTTATACATCCATTTGCACTTTTAGGGGGCAAAACCTAATTAAAATTCCTTTTGAAGTAAATTTGTAAAAAAATTTTTAATAAAATTTTTTATGAATCTACCATCCGGGTTCGACTCCTGGCCGAGGTAATATTTCTCGCAATAAGAATTATTTTCAAATTTTAATATAGTTTAACATCGATATAAGATGCCAAAAGAGCATCAATTAATTATTAAATTGTTAATAAATTTAATTCGTGATAGTACTGCGGTATAGTTTGTTAGAGTTGCGTTTCAAGACTGACAATTGTTCGGTGCGCAGTTTAGAAAGACTACATATATCAGTATATAAATTCACGCGAAATTATATATAAGCAACTAAGATTCAAGCTAGACTTTATTATAGGCTTTGTTTTTTATTCAAAGGAGCACTTTATCTCCTAAAGTGCGAATACACATATAAAAAAACACATTCCTTATTTTGGCTTAGCACACACACACACATTAAAAGCTTAGTAAAAAAAATCAGAGAACATTTCTGTTTTTTCTTGTAGTAATGGCTTAAAATTTGGCAAAAAAATCTTTTAATTTATATATTTTTTACATTTCGTAGACTATATTTTTATTTTCATCGTTTCTTAGGTTTGGAGCCAGCTACATTTATCGGGTTGTTCGACAATTGGAATCATAATCTGCTAAGGGATTACAAGCCGTTCGAAACCTTCTGCGCTCTGTTGGAGGATAGAGATCAATTATCAAAGACGCAAACGACCTCGAAGACTACCACAGATTTTGACAATTACATCAAGTACCCACCGGCGATGCTGAAAAGCGAACCGGATAATTTGCCGGCAGGTGTAGACGTTAGACGCAAAGAGATGCACTTGACTTACGACAATTTCATCACAATCTTCAAAATGGAACCCGTGGAATTTGAAAAATTACCGACCTGGAAGAGACAACGCCTCAAGCAGGCTGCTGGACTCTTCTAATAATGTTCTTTTTTTTACTTCGATTTCAATTCAAATATTCCATCATCCCATTCACATCCCATATCATATTTCATATCCCATTCATTATCTCTTCCCTTTTTGGAACCGAAATTTAAAAATTATACATTTATCCGGTAATATTTTTATTACAAGACCGAATTGATTTTTAATCGTTAAGTCTCATTGTTTGAAAAAATGTATTTATTATTATATAGAACGCTATTAAGTTAATGGTTTCATGCAGACGTGTCCATCGCTTCGGATTCGATTGTGCGCACCGTCTCCTCCTCCACGATGATTGGCTTAATCGTTTTCGTGAGCACCGATGTAGTACCGGACTTATAACGATAACTGATTTGCCGCTCGCCTTTTACGCTGGCGGTATCATACGGCCGTAAATATTCGACATTGTTCTTTCGAATGATGCAGACATCTACGTTGGATCCTGATGCAAGATCGTTGAACACACCCGCACGAATAGCATCTGCCACCAATTTCTTCGCATCTTCTTCCTAAAACATATTCATTTTCTGAATTCGAGAACATGGAGTTTTTAATATAAGAAATAGTTTTAATATATTATTTAATGCAAAAAGATATATATGAATATAGAAAATAATTAATACATATATAAATATAAATATATAGTAAGATCAATAAATTTTATAAATAATACAATAAATTTTTGTCACCGTTTACATAAAGTTATAAATATTATTTTAGATACAATATTATGTAAATATTATTTTAGACTTTAGATTTGCCAAATGTTTTGGGATATTTTCTCTGTATTCCCCATCTTATGAATATATTACACATATTTTTAAAGAAAATTAAGAAATTACGAAAGATTAGATATTTTTCTATATTGCATTTAAAAGTAATACAAAAAATTTAGCGATTATTGTACAGAGAACCTGGATAAAAAATTATTTTAATAAATGTTTTTTAAATATAATTAGAATAAAATGAAAAAATGTACATTTAAACTATAAAATTATATTGTTAAGCATAAATATTGACCTCACTGAACTATTTCATGAGTACATAATGTTAATTTTTATATGGTATTTTTTAATTCCTAATCATTTTTTTAAAAGAAATTATACACTCAATACATCTTTAAAATAACACAGTATATATAATTATTTCAAATCTAGTATACTCGATTATATGATTAAAAACTCCATACCGACATATCAGGCTTCCATGTGCTCTCAAGTACTGACATAGCAGCTAGCGAGCCAGATCCCATTGTGGTATACTTCAGCTTCTCTGTTGAACCATGAGGATAAATGCAATATAGCTGAGGTCCGTCAAGATCAAAACCTCCCAGGATAAGAGCAGCACCAATATGACCTTGATAACGAAATAGCATCTGTTTTATCAATGTGTTGGCAGTGCACACAGGCACGATACGGCCAGTATTCAGACGATGTAGTTCCAATTGACTAGCTATCATCTCTGTAGTCATTTCAGTGTCTGCAGCTGTACCAGCTCCGCAACAGCTAAAGATAACTTATTTTTAATACATTACTCATAAAATTAATTTTGTATAAAGAAAGAATGCTATGACACTTACTACATATTAGGAGCAAGATAATGGATCTTCAAGCTGTATTTGTCAGCTACAATAGTGTCCTCGGTGGCTCGTGTATCACCACCAAGAATAACGCCATCCTTGTATACTACACCTGCAATGGTGGTACCTGTTTTTTTAGCTTTTGGATTATCAAAGCCTTTTTTAACCAAGAAATTGTTCCTGTATAAAGTAAATAAAGATTAACAGAATCAATAAGCTTCAAATTAAACCTATTAAATATCTATATAATATTAAATATATCATATTAATAATATGAAATACATGAAATTTATAATTTAAAATAATAATATACGTCTAAGATACATATTAATGTGTATGTGATAAAAACAAAATTTTAATAATTATTTTATAGAACCTTTTTAAACTTTTAGAAGTTGCTGCTCAATTTAATACTTATATTAATTAATGTGATGTTTCTTGATATTTATTAAGTTTTTCAATTTGTATAAAGAATCTGAGAAATTTTCTAAAAAATTATTAAGATATTCAGAAATTCTAATAAATTCTGAAATTTACATAAAAATTTTGATAAACTATATAAAAAAATCCGAAAAAATGTTTTCATCAAGGTAACTCATTCAAACACTCATTCCAATATTTGCATTAAAATATTATTTCAAAAATCGCCATTTTACAAGAACAAGTGATTACTAATATTATATGATGTTATATGATGAAAACTTCGTTTTAGAAAATACTACTGTATTATAATGTGACACAGCAGTATACATTTTTAGGTTAGCTAGAATAGCATCGAAGTTATAAAATTTTTGAAACAAGATAAAGTCTTCACCTTTGGCAGAGATCAAAAGAAAAACCTGGCGGTAAGATCTCCGGTACGAGAAGCGAACTCATAATTCGTTTTGCGTATCAAATAGCGGCAGTCAAAATCACAAAACTGTCAAAAATGACACAGCTATATACCAAGTAACACACTATCCACTTTGATTAGTTTGATTGCGATTAGTGCCATCTGTCATCAGCCATAGTAGAAGGAAATCATTTCTAAAAATAGCCAATAAGAATAAAGAACGTGATGTACCGTCATATTACCGCGGTTATTTAAATTATGCGTTATGTCAAAATAAAAATTTATTTTCCACAAGTTTTTTGAAAACGGACCCAAGTAATATTATGTAACTCTCACTCTCTCACTCTCTCTCTCTTATATAAAAAACATATTTAATTATAGAATTTATATAAAACTTTATAAATAGAAAATTAATTGATATATGAATATATCAGATGGATATATCAATTAATTTGATATTTAAATACGTTCCTATTTACTTTTTCTAATTAAACTTTTAATCCTATTAAAAAACATAATATAATAAGGATTAATTTATTCAGTATATTATGTAATATAAATTAATACAGAGAATATTGAGAAATAATATTCATTTAATATATTATCTTTTAATGTATGAAATACATTTTTATATGTTGTTAGCAGATGTTGTTAGAAGATAATTTTCGACAAAAAAAATATTATCATAATGAGTATAATAATACTTTTTCATTACTTTTATCATAAATTATAAAAGTATAATTTGCATTTTTTGTTAACAATTTTATAACAATTTTCCTACAAAAATAGATATTTTTTATACAATTCAAATGTAAATAAATGTTCATGACATAAAAGTATAGTAATATATATAGGTACAGATTATTTTGATTACTTCATCATTGATATCTACATCTCATTATTAAATTTCTGAAGTAGTTCTATTATTCGATCGTATACTAGAGTTTTGATATCAATGGCGCTTATAAAATCGAAATGATTTAATAATTTATTTTCCTCCAGCAGGATGACATTCGGTAGATGTCTACATGTTTCGAGGACATTCTGAGAACATATATAAGTATAAAAGACAATAAAATTAGTAATAATAATTTTAGAAGTATATAAGCAATTATTTCTTAAAGGCTATTTTTATACTATAAATAATATAATGTAAATTGAAGAAATGAGCGATAAATAAAAGAAAGGAAGACAGAAGAAGGAGAAAAAGAGAAAATTAATAAGGGAAAAAAATATAAATATATTCCGTGTAATTATATAGATGAAAAGAAAAATAATCTTAAATTATTTATAAAGAAAAGATATGTTCATTTTTTTATCCAAGTTAACTTTTTATAGCTTACACGAAACAATTAAATAAAGAAAAAATTAAATAAAGCTTTTGCTATAAATATTCTATGTATGTATAGATAAAAGAATATATGTATTATATGCATACAGGAGATTAAAAAATTTATTAATTTTGTTAATATATACATTTCTTAATCAAAAAATGTTTTAATCTTACCGCTTTTGTAGCAACCATATCGTTAGCGCTATAATATATAGCCAAAGGTACAGTAACTTTGTTAAGGTTATATATTATAGGAGTTATCTGACCATACTGCATATAATTGCCGAAATATCCGTAGTCATATGCTTGAAATTTCTCTGCAGCAATCAATATTAGTTATCTACATAAATGAAAATTATAAAGAGTATTTGCAAATTTTAATTTTAATTTGAGTATAAACATAAGATATTATGTGATCGTGAACAATGTGCTAAAAAGAATTAATTCAGCCGATATATATATGTATCTTATATATATCGATATATGTTATATATTATATATATGTATATCTTATATATGTATATCTTATATTATAATAAAATATAATTTTAGAAAAAAGTAAACATAAAAACTAAAAATATTGAAAGTAACACTTTAAATACAATTTAACGCACATTTCTTTCTTTATAATTAACATAATAATTTATATTGTTCTATATTTTCCAAGAAAAAAGGAATTATACTTACTTGCAATCATGTTTTGAATATAATGATCTAATGATTGAACAGAAGATCCTGCCGGATAATTCGATAATACTATCGGTATTATCGTCTACAACAATAATACTTTAATTAAAAATAATTTTAGTTTGTTGTATATTAAAAAACATAGTAACATATATAGCAAATCATATAGTATACTTTATTTTATAATTTTAATTATCTTTAAAAAATGTGGCAGTGTTACAATTAGCAAAAACGTGTTAAATTAAAGGTGTACAGTATTAAGTTGCGCTGGATCGGATCCGGCAATTAGAAACATTATTGCAATACAGACAGCTTGAGTAACTTTGTTATCTGCACACAGCATTCTTCCCATCGTAATACTCATTGATGATAAGGAGCCTATTTCATATATTTCATTAGAATCAAAAAATTCCTAATAAACAAATATATATAAAAAATGTAACATAAATGAGATACAATAAAAATCGTACAAGATATAATATAAAAAAGAAACTAAAACATAGTATTATAATAATTATATAGATATATATTAGTTTCTAAAATGTACAATGATTAAAGAATAATATAATAAGAAACAATACGAAATCATTAAAATGTTTTGTTTACGCCATCTTAAAGTACCAACTTTTATGTTTAAAATATATTTTTTTAACGCCGTACGTTTCTTTTTCACTTACAATGAGAGATAATCTCTGCGTAATCACATAAAGAAAAACATTTTTGGCACAAAACAGCAGAAATTACGTCGAACAGTGTTATATCACGTTAATAATAAATAGTAACAAAATATTATTTTACTAATAAAAATTTAAAATTATTCTCTAATTAGGATAGTATCAAACAAAATTTATACGTATAAAATATATTTGTATTTCTCTTAAAATATAATTTTGATATCTTTTTATTTTTACCTTAAAGTTTGGTAACATATTATGAAAATATTTCAGTGGCGGAGACGTTTCTTTCCAAATGGCGATCGGAGCAAGACAGATTCCCAATTTTATCTTTGCATTGTATTCAGGTCTTATGGATAATAAAACGAACAATTCGGTACCTCCCATCGAATAACCAATGTAATGCAAAGTTTTCTGATTTGTGACATTAAGGACATAATCAATCACAACTGGAAGATCCTTCGTTCCTATCTCGTGGTAGCTAGACAGTAAAAGTAAAATAAATATATGTGTTATAATAAATAAGTGAACACTATATATATATATATAAGTAATTATAAAATTAATTAAAATATTTTTAACAAAAAGTTGAAATTAATAAAAAATATATATTTTTTTAAATAATATTTATGAAAAATAAGATTTTACCTAAATTGCCAAAAGTTCTTGTTTTGTGGAGACAATTTTATATGTGATCTGCAATAAGTATTTCCCCTGGAATTTCCGAGCCATACATCATATCCTTCATCAACCAATAAAAACGCTAGAACAGAAGGTAATATGCAATTAGTTCTTTTGTTTATCGAGAGTATTATCAAATTAATTTATAATAACTTATTTTGATGTGAGACTACAATAATTTTGCTCTTTATCATTTACACTTATAATGCTTTATTACAGATTTCTTATTGATTCTGACAAGTATTATTTATTTTTTTCATTTTATTTTTTTTTTATTTCATTTCATAATTGACATTTCAATTTTTATTTATACCTATCATAGAGAAATATAATTTGTTCCACATATCGTAAAAGGTTTTACGTAGACTTAGAATAAACAGAAAGTAAAAAAGTGAGGAAAGTCAATTAAAGTTTATTTGCTGCATAGACGAAATAATTTTAAATCCAATTAACGAATTAAATATAATTAATGGCTATAATGCATCATGTAGTGATGCATGATCACTCACCAAGATCTTTGCCAGGACCGAATAATACCCAGATATCAGATGAGCAAAAGATACCAGCTTTAAGAAACACAACTGGTTTTTGTTGTTGACCCAAATGTAAAGGAGATCCTGATATTCTATGTATCACCAAGTTATAACCATCTTCCGTTGTGACGTAATGTTCCTCAGCAGCATAATTATATCTCTCTACTAAACCGATCTGCATAAACATATATAAAAAATGTTACCAATAATTCCAGACTTTTACAATAATTTTAATAATAATTTTATAATATTTTGGCATTAAATATTTTTCATAATATGCTTCGTAATACTTTTTTTTATATAAAATGACGAAGTTTATTTATTAACAAAATAATATTATATTTATAATTGGATACAATTGATCTGTGCATTAACAAAATAAAAAATGTAATATTATATATCATAGAAATCATAATTTTAATAAATTAATTATCTAATCAACTGGAGAGTAGATGGTTGTCATAAATAACTCAATCACTGTATTACAGGACATTTTTTTCTTTATTCAATGATAAATATTAATTAATAGATTGTTGTAGATCGCTGATGTATTTGATATTAATTTGTCGTATACTAATTGTTTTTTCCAAGAGTATTTATATATAACGACATTTAAAAAAATTAAGATAGTTTTTTAAATTCTTATTTCCTAATAAGAATTTTTTTGCATTATCCATAATGTAAGATGTAATGATGCACATAACGGTTGAATATAATTTAGGACTAATTTTTTATTAAGTACCTATGGAAAGTTTTAACTCGTTACTATTACATCTGGTATCATCGCGATTTCTCTGTAATCATAGAAAAAGTTACGTTTTGAATAATTCTTCCCTGGTGAAAATAAAAATCTGTGCGTAAAAGTTAATGTAAGGAGAAAGTAACAGCAGAAGCGTAAACAAAGTTTCGTTTACGCTTCTACTACTCTCTACTTATGTTACGATTTTTATTTTCGCTAGGGCTGTGTAGTTATATAGTTAATCATTATAACACTTTTAATTTCTAAAACCGATCTTGTATTAAATTTATGAATTCCATCTATTTTGTCCATGCCTTCTGTAATATTGCCTTAATCAGTTCTTGTGGAGATGGCATCAGAATTACATTATTCATAAAAAAAAAATTTTGAAAGAACTATAAAGTGCATGAAAAGAAAAAAACGGAAATGATTATAATTGAACAACTCTTTTAACTGTTCGATCAATATACAATTTTTTTGTTATTTTCAACCACATAGAATGGAATTTTCTCAAAAATAACAATACAACAAAAATCATAAATATAAAATGTAGCAGGGGAAGAATAAATACAAAATTAAAATATAAAAAGAAGGGCAAAAGGAAGCAAGCGGAAAGAAAAAGTGTGATTATGATTAATATATATAGTTTCTGTTTCTAAATTAATATAACTTGTCAATTTTGTTATCACCCTATATATATATATATATATATATTGAGAACGATACGATAATTATTTAACAACTGAAATATTACAAAAGAAGAATCAGAAATGTTTGCGTGGGTAAGTTAATGGTGTCACGTTCGGGTGCGTGTCGTTTGCGTTCAAGCGGCGTTCGGTACAAATCGTACGCATAACAGACAGTCTAACAAAGAGAAATCACAGACTTTTGCTTATTTAAACAATAGGAACTTTATTAACGAGTATAATACAAAGTAATGTCTCAGGAAGAATTCACGTCCTGTCAATCACAAGTCCAGAGATAGGGATAAAACAAACTCGATTTTCATGCGATCGGTCACGAGTTAAACTACACAGCACGAGAAGAATGCTTCGGGTTACGTGAACATATCGTGCAAAAATATAATTCTTACAAGAATTCTGATCTACTTTTTAACACATATAATAACAGAGCTGCTCCGTGAAGTCGGCACCCCTAAATGCGAATTTTGCTAAAATCATTATTGCATTCGTTTGTCCACTGTTTGTCCACGTTTGTCCACCCGGTATTTTCATTTGTCCACCCTCCAAAAAAAAGTTATACACAAAAAAAGATTGTAGTACCCCCAAGTGATGATTTTTCATTATTATGAAAAATATAATAAAAATAGTATGGACGAACGAAAATAATGGGTGGACAAACGCGGACAAACAGTGGACACACGAATGCAATAATGATTTTATCAAAATTCGCATTTAGGGGTGCCGACTTCTCAGAGCAGGTCTGTGAAGTTTGCACCTCGAAATGCGAATTTTGATAAAATCATTATTGCATTCGTGTGTCCACTGTTTGTCCGCGTTTGTCCACCCATTATTTTCGTTCGTCCATACTATTTTTATTATATTTTTCATAATAATGAAAAATCATCACTTGGGGGTGCTACAATATTTTTTTGTGTATAACTTTTTTTTAGAGAGTGGACAAATGAAAATTTGTATTTTGGCGTATTTAGGATAAACTCTGTATATGAAAATACACAATTATTTATTTCTATATATGTTATATATACATATATGTATGTTGTGTATTAACATATATATATTTATACATATATTTACATATATATTATATTTATGTATATTCTCATATAAAAAAATGTAATCGATAAAATATATTATTATCAATCTTGAAACGTATCTTAAGCTAATTATATTCACTTTTAATCAATATCGTTTTGTCATCACAAATATCGTGCTTATATATAAGATTTACCTCCGATCATTTTAAATACTCTATTATTTTACCAAGCATATCTTCAATTTTTATATAATTAAACAAAATACATTAATAAAAGACAATCTTACTTACGAAATCCAATGTAGTTACGTTGCTCACTGTTTTGACTTGTTCTAGCTTCCTTACTCTCACTATACCGGGATCCTTAGGAAACAAATAGTTGAATAATATCTTCCGAAAGGATACTAAATCTTCTCTAACATGTAAACTTGCTTCCAGCAACACTACTGTAAGTAGAATTACGAATGAAAGTTTGTCGATATTCATTACGATATCGATACTTGAGATTATGTCACTATAACTTGCAACTCTCTACAGTATTATATGATATACCTGACACGTGACATAATATACCGTGCAGATATAAGGATTATACAAAAAATTAAAGCTATACACGATATTACATAAATAATTTACATATGTATTTGTTGTATTATATAATGAATTTTACGGAGATCGCAGGACGCAGTAACACACTAAGATATTTATATATGAATGATAATCCAAGGGTCTGCGTCCAGCAGAAATAGCAGTTTTGAAACTATTGTAATAATCTTTGATTTGATTGGTTAATATATTTAGATTCAGTATAACGATCTAAAAAAGCAAGAACCAATTATATTTGAAGCCTGATCTACAATTGCATAAACGTAGTTGTAAGTGATCGTAGTCGTAAGGATCCTCCAATCATAGTTGGAAATTCTCTTCGTATTCAATTATAATTGGTCAATTCTTACAACTACAACTTCGTTTACGCAGTTGTAGGAAAGATCTTACAACATGTTGCAAAGCTACTTTTTCTGCATTCATTAACGCTACTTTAGTTTCGCTAGATTCCTCGTTCCGCTCTCTAAATCTATCAATAGTAGAAATCTACAAATGTAGTATTAGTTAGTATTAGAATATATTTATTAATTATTTAATTTTTTCTTAATGTAAATATCAAATAAATTTGTTAAATTTGAAAATCGTTTAAATTCTTATTAATATATAAATGAAAGTAGTTTTACATAGTTCTAAGAATTAATTAACTGATAGACATTTCGACTCGGGATTTGAGTCATTTGTGCTTGCGGAAAAACGCTATTAGCGCTATTTCTGTCATTCTATCTCCGTCGTTTATTATATGTAAAACAAGGATAAAAAAACAAATAGCACTAGTAGTATTTCCCCAAACGCATCTATATTCTCAGTGCAAAGTCAAATACAAATTAGAATAAAAGAGAACTCCAACTGAGTATCTACCAGTCATAGCGAAAATAGATTTTAACCCAATCTTATTAACGTAATCTGGTCAATAAATTATTTATTATGACATCAAAGATATGTTAAGAAAAGATACATCTTAAATACATTTCGAGTTTTATTTACTCTTTCTAATTATGCTTTTATAATACGTACCTTTTTACTAATTGTGTAAAGTTAACAGACAATACAATAAAGTTTAATTTATTCGATATATTATGTAACAAAACTTGATACAAAAAAATTGAGAAATACATTATAATACAATATTCATTGAATATTATTTCTTAGTGAAATATGCATTTATTAGTTATGGTAATAGCTCTACGAATTTAGAAAAAATTTTTTTAAATGATAGGAGTGTTATTATAAAATAAGCAATAATACTTTTTCAATGTATTTATCATAAAAGAATAATTTGTAGCATTTTCTGACCAGCAATTTAAAATTAATTTTTTCTATCAAGATGGATATCGTTGAGGAGTACTACTACAGGCTCTACCGGTTAATAATAATTTTATTAGGCAAATAATAAATAATGATCCATATTCAAAGATATTGACAATGCTAGAGAATCGACAATCTAATGCATTTTCTTCACTCAAGCAACGTTTTCCTGTAAAAATATTCACATCTTATTATATTTTTCAACTCTATGAAGTCATAATTTTTACGTTCTTCACAAAACAGTTTGTATTTTATTTGAAAATAGAACCTTCTAATAAATTTTATTAAAATGAACATACACAATCCATGACCAATGCTGCTGCTATTGCTGTTATTGTCACAAATTAAGACGGCTACGTCCATTAAATTCAAATTATTAAAGTCTAAATCAATATTGCTGGTAGTTCTACAATGAAAAAAAAATTTGATTACACACACAATATATAATATTATTATCATTATCATGTGCAACACTTGATCAGTGATTGAAGATCACGCAAAAATTCATACGTTGCAAATGTACCCACGATTTTCCACTTGTTGCAGCAGATCCACTTGCCGCTTGCTTCTTTTTCTAATGTATTCGAATATATCGAAAATAATGTGACAGCAACTTCCACTTCTTTTTAATAAAGTTAATGAAATATGTTCCTAAAAAACACAGAAATACATAATTCAATACATCAATGTTTTTCATTCAAATAGACTCGATTCAACTGAAAAATTTTTGTTGATACGAATGTAGAATTGTTCAATATAAGACAAACAGCCATATATAAAATATCAAAATTGTACTAAAATATAAACAATAAATGTTAATTTAGTGCTACGTATGCTATAAAAAATAGTTTATATATTTATATATACTCACTTCGTTTAAATTCATTATCGAATTATCCATTACATTCACATAGATCTCCTTGCTCTATCTCAACATTCTCAATGTTAAGCATTATGATAAAATGTTGTTTACCATGTGTAGGTTTATTATGTGTAGATCACGATTATTTTCAGTCATTGAGTGTACTGTCATTAACAATAAATAAACAACAGAGCAGGTTAGGTTCCTTCGCTACCTTTCTTTGCAGTTCGCTCATGCTGAACTTAAGGGTCTGCGCACAATAGGAGAAATATTAGGAACAGATATTAAATATAAGAATTTTAACCTATCAGAATTGTGTACTGTGGAATGTGCGCTTTCTGACAGGTTAAAATTCTTATATTTAATATCTGTTCCTAATATTTCTCCTATTGTGCGTAGACCCTTAAAGTTCGAAGTTTTACTAGCTACGCATTTTCGTACGAATCGACGGAATAAGTCTTCGCCAACAAAGCTTCGTTGCATGATCTTCGTCAAATGATATTTTATCGTCAAAACATCGGATAAAAATTTAAGGACTGCGCACAGCACGGTTGTTGTACCAAGTCTGTTCAAAATTTCTTATATTTTCTCAATATTTTAGCTATTTGGGCTTTTTGTATTTTACAAAAGCCATTCGGAAATTCTCCTAAACTTTAAGTATATTACAAAATGAAAATTTTCTTGTAAAAAAAATCTCTGAATCTCTGGTAGAAATTCTATACTGTGACAGCATTAAGCCTGTATTACAATAGAATCGCAAGACTTAAGTCGTAAGAAAATGGCCAATTACGGCTGATTACTTTTTCAAATTCAATAGTGATTGGCTAGTTTCTTGTGGCTTACGACTTACGACCCTATTGTAAACAGGCTTAACAAAATAGGCAATGGACACGTTCAAGTTCACAACGATTTTGTCGTAAAACATCAAGCCTTTCAAAAGTGTATGTAGTACATACCTAGCCGCTTTGTTGTATTGAATTCTTTCAATGAAAAGGCACTTTTATGCCAGTTTCTTTAACCAATTACAACGATATAAATGCAGAGAGAAGCCTATTCTGTAACTTGTAACGACAATTCCGTATCGTTATACTGTCGATGCGCAGGTTTTATACCATGTAAAATATTTGCGCAATGACATCCCTAGCTAATAAAATTGTCGTTAAAAAGTTACAGAATAGGCCTACTGATTGTGAGAGCGGCCATGCCCGAGATTTAACTGTTACTTTATTTTGAAACGCCTCTATATCCACAAAACGTGGACATTGAACTATGTAGCCAATATCCACGATCGTGTCGGTAATGTCCAAGATTTTTTGTTCTAATCTTCCCAATGTACATAATTTAAAAAAAAATGGCTTTGTGGTACCAAAATTGGAACCGAAAGGGTCAAGAGACCATTAGTGGGGATATTCAAACCTATACGCCCATATCAATATAAATATAACCGGTTATACTAGTAAGTTCCTGAGCGATGTGTTAACTAATGTTATTAACATTACTTAAGTTTACATTATTTAAGATATAGAAATATACCGTTTCTCAAACTAAAATAATGCAATCTTAAATAATGTTAATAACATTAGTTAACACAAAGTTAAGAAACTCTCTTAACACGATTTGTATTTAGATTAATATAAAGGAGTTGTCTAACATTATTAAAAATTTTTTGATTTTTATTAATATTTATACAATAAATATATGTTTTATACATTTTTTCAAATATTACTATAAAAGTTACAATTAGTCTTCGTTAATTATAATTTATTTTTTTATTTACTAAAAATATGTATAATGCAACACATTTTCCCGTCCCACTTTACAGACTGCGAACTGTCGGATATACAAATAATGAATATCCGGTGTGGTTAAAAAATGTGATGCATATCATTTTCATGATCTACAGCATCATACACACAACCAATCGCACTTAAAAATGTACAATAATATTTACAATATGCATTAATAATATGTACATAAATGTAAACGAATACAATTTACAACATAAATCTACACATGTATAAAAAATTGAACAAAATACAACATGCTGTACGTATATCATAATAAAATATTAATATATACACAATTAAAGTATTTTCGAAAAGAGATTATTGGCAAAGCTAAAAGAGAGGAGAAATTGCAGAATAAATATTAATAAAACAAGGTGAAAAGAATTAATTAAAAACACCCTTACCAAAACAGTTGTAAAACACTTTCTCAGAGTATCACATTAAATGTCGGTTGCTACTTTCCATGGCACACGCAGGAGACAGTGCGAATTGCGCGAAGTG